AGGATTTAGGTTAACAAAAAATGGCGCAACAATCGTTGATCTACAGTTTCGTTGCTCGCGGCACGGTGATCCTCGTTGAGTTCACTGATTTCAAAGGTAATTTCACCTCCATCGCTGCTCAGTGCCTCCAGAAGCTTCCGTCTACGAACAACAAATTTACTTACAACTGCGACGGTCACACTTTCAACTACCTTGTCGAAGATGGATTCAGTAAGTTTGATCTTATTACACACAGGTTCTCATGTGTTCTTTCGTTTTCGATTTCTGTCTAGGTTTTTGTCTTGTTTTGGTCTGTTTACCGCGTATTTGCCTAACGTTTGCTCGAGTTATCTATCGATTCGTGTGGGTATGTAGAGTTTGTGTATTTTGGTTTCTCTCACTAGCATCATGTACCCTTAGGGTTAGATCTATATCTATTGGTTCCATTAGATCTTTGTAGAGCCTTACATATATATATGTACTCAGTTTCTGATGGAATCTCTGTAGATACTATGCGGAAGAACACCGACATTGATACTGGCTGCTTGATTTACATAACTTATTTGCTTATTGTTTCTTTTGTCATGTGTTTTGACTGGCTTTATTTCTCAATCAATTTGGGTCTGATTGTAGAATTTTGTGACAGTCCTTTCGTTGTAGCCATATGTGAGATTAACTTTGTTCTTGTTGTGTAGCCTACTGTGTTGTTGCGGTTGATTCTGCTGGGAGGCAGATTCCGATGGCCTTTTTGGAAAGAGTGAAAGAAGATTTTAACAAGAGATATGGTGGAGGAAAGGCTGCGACTGCTCAAGCAAACAGCTTGAATAAAGAGTTTGGGTACTTATTATTGTTTATATCTTCTTTTTCTACCGACGATTTGATCTTTTGCATATTCTTGGACTAATTCCTTTTGGTTATTTTGAAGGTCTAAGCTGAAAGAGCATATGCAGTATTGCATGGATCATCCAGATGAGATTAGCAAGCTTGCTAAGGTGAAGGCGCAAGTGTCTGAAGTTAAGGGTGTTATGATGGAAAACATCGAGAAGGTTGGAAACCGGCCCTTTCTTTTTTGTCGATATATATTTTGTATGATTCGTCCATGTCCCTTTTGCATTTCGGAAACAGCTCATCTAATAATACTAAGTTACTGAAATTTCTTGGTTTGGTATCTATTGAATGCATCACATCATAACGGAAATGTCCAGTTTACCAAATGTAATACACGTTTTGTTATCAAACGACATTTGCAGGTTCTTGACCGTGGTGAGAAAATCGAGCTTTTGGTGGACAAAACCGAGAACCTTCGCTCACAGGTTAGACTCTCGTGTACTTATCTCCTGCATACATATAATAAATGTCTACACTCACACACAAATACACATATGAAGCTGGTTCACCATATTGCCTTATCTTGTGTTTGATTAAACTCCAACTGCTACAGGCACAAGATTTCAGAACAACGGGAACACAGATGAGAAGAAAGATGTGGCTTCAGAACATGAAAATAAAACTCATAGTTCTCGCCATCATCGTCGCACTGATTCTGATCATTGTGCTCTCAGTTTGCCATGGCTTCAAGTGTTAAGCCCAGAAAAATTCAAAAGCCTTTGAGATCTTTCTCACTCGATACTGCCTTTCTTTTATTGTTCTATCATCATTCTAATGTTTCTGCTTGAATTGGTTTTGTATAGATAGACATATATGTATTTGCTATATTGCTTGCACCTGATGACATATTGAACCCTTTTGCAAACCAGTATTTGCCAAGAGATCGAAAACTATTAAAATGATTTTGTCGACTAAAGAATGTGCTTATGGTCATACTGTTGTGAGGTGGTAACTTAAAGCGTAGTGCACCTGTAAAGGCTTAAGCGAAACACATGGACAAGACACGTAAACTCTCTTGTTTCCACAATATGTACATAAGCATCTTGTATGAAACATGGAGGTTAAAGAATTGTAGTTATCAAAAATCAAGAAACATTTACTTTTACGAATTTCACAATCTAGATTCCAGAGGCATATTTCGTCATTTTGGACAACTATTATATTTGGGCCAAATTTAAGTAATGGGCCGAAAAGCCAGCTTCTGATTCTGCTGCCACAACATTCCCGCCAAAAACTTCTCTCATTCCCGCTCAAGCTCGCGACGACACCACCAGATTCCGATTTGCCACCTCTATTCTCCGCACACCGATTCGTCCGATCATATCAGATTAATGGAATTCGATATCCCATTGCCGGAGGAGCTTGAGCTTCTCGAAGCCAACTCTTACTTTCCTGAAGAAGAAGAAGATGATGACTACTTAAATTACGAGGAGGCACCGTATCCCTACCCAATCGACGACGATGACGAAGAACGCGCCGGAATGAATGATCCTCACGCTCTTCAATCGGAATCTCCGTCTGCGGAAGTTGATATCAGTGGTTGTAAACGACCCAGGAAGCTAATGACCGATCCGATTGTCGATCTCGACGAAGTCTCTCCAGCTACTGATAAGAGAAGCAAAATCGATGATAATCGGGTGGAAATGGAAGACGAGGACTGGTTACGGTTTTCGCCGGTTAANGAAGTCGTCAACGTTATGGAGGAGGAGGAAGAAGAAGAGGTCATCCCCCAGGAGACGATTTTGTCCAGGTTACTACTTGTTCACGAGATATAACGATTCGGAAATTGTGATTTCGTTTTTTTAGTAATCTCGTTAATGGAATTTTTAGATACGCTTCTGAGATTGACGGTGAATGCATTCCGATCACGGCACCGGACGGAGGAGAGAGGGTTTATGCGAAATTCTGCCGGGCTTTGGGAGACGAACCTGTGAAGCAATTGGATGTGAAAGCCAAGTCTAATGGTACGAATTTTGCAATTACGCTTTATCTGTTCCCAATTGGCTCATTATATGTTCGTGAAGTCTTAGAAAATCTTACTGGAGCTTATATTAGATCTGTGTACTATTGATTTCTGACTTGGTATTCCTTAGTTGAGAGGTGAAGAAAGTGTAGGGTTAAGATCAGAATAGCTTTAGAATGCCTGAACTTAATCGTGGACAAGGTTTCTGACTCCATTTGATTTCTTTATGGGGGGCATACAATCTTCTGGCAAGAACTCTATTGTTCTTGGAAGTTAAGAGTTCATTCATCAATTTGTTGCAGGTCTTCTCGAAGATCCCATTAGCGTTCTTCTGCAACAATCAGAGCAAGAGGCATTTAACAAGGTGAATTCCTTGGTTAATTTTATTTGCAGAAAAACGGATAACCTTTTGAGACTTTCAGGCTAATTTTATTTCTCGTATGGTTCTTTGACGATATTATCGATTCCATTATGTTAAAACATCCATCATATAAAGCAAGTTGTGGATGATAGTTATGTCCCATCCTAACTAGTATGTGTTTTCTTTTGACATTGAAGGTCTTGCAAAGTAGTTCCGAAATTCAGAATGAAACCATTCCCGCAGAAACATCAGTAATGCATGAAAAGCTCTGGGTGGACAAATATTCTCCGAGCTCATTTACTGAGCTTCTCAGTGATGAGCAGACCAATCGAGAGGTAATTTGCATATCTTGGTAAAGATACTGGGTAATTTAGATGAATCAAGAACCAGTCTTTTATGAACTAGTAGTTGATGTTTTAAATGTTATTTGCAGGTTCTGTTATGGCTTAAGCAGTGGGATGCTTCTGTTTTTGGATCTGAAATTAGAAGCACAACGGATGAAGTATTGTCAGCTTTGAAACGACATTCTACAACAAGTCATCATCAAAAATCAGACTCAGCTTTCACAAGGAAAAATCAGTTCAATAGATGGAGTAAGGGAAGTTTTACAAATCATAAAAAATCAGACGAGAGCAATAGCAAAACTACAGATATACATGACTTGTGGAACAAAAAGTCAAAACTTACTGGTCCTCCAGAGCAAAAGGTGAGATAAACTGATTTAGACTACATGTTTTTTTATAGCTGTTTGTGGGTCGTCTTGTACTAAAACCATTACATCTCCGGTCATAAAAATTTAGTTTTCACTGCTATTGTAGATCCTTCTCCTCTGTGGTGCCCCAGGGCTTGGAAAGACTACGCTTGCTCATGTTGCAGCTAAGCATTGTGGATATCGCGTTGTTGAGGTATTCTTGTAGACCCTTTACTTTCACAAGCCAAATTCATAATTTATCTAGTTAAGTTCGACTGTTGGCCTGTTGGGATAAGCAGAGGCATCTTGCCTTTTAGTTTCTTAACAAAAGGATTCTTCATTAATTGTATTGCAGCAGCATTTCTGTATGTGCAGGTATCTCATTCTTCTGTTCTTGTGTATTAAGTCTAATTCAACCTGTGTTATTTTTCAGATTAATGCTAGTGACGAGCGATCAGCAGCAGCCATTGAAACTAGAATTCTTGATGTAGTTCAGATGAACTCTGTTACAGCTGATTCAAGACCTAAATGTTTGGTATGTTTGATTTACTCTATGTTCGCTGTGTAACTTTTTTCATCATGTCAAATTGAATGACTCAAAGTTGCCTGAAGTGGACGAGACTGACGATAATTTATGTAGGTGATTGATGAGATAGATGGAGCTCTTGGTGATGGAAAAGGAGCTGTAGATGTTATTCTAAAGATGGTATGTATATGCACGGTTGTATTGGCCTGCTGGTCACTTGGGGCACTGAAAGGCTAGGTTACATTTGGTTTTTACTAACTATCAACTCTTTGCTCGTTTTACCTTTATAAGAAAGATTTACGTTAGTTTTCTCTCGCTGAAATTTCATCTCAGCAACTGAAAGAAGGTTTTTGGTTACTCCTATCTGACATTGCTAGCTCTAAACCTTCTTCGATGCTCTTAATCTTTTCTTGAATTTTATTATCCTTTTACATTTGCCTGAAGTGTGGAAGACCAATTGGGGAACAACTATGTTATAGCATTTGTTTGTATTTGATTGCATCTTCATTTTATAGGTGTTGGCAGAAAGGAAGCATGCTACAGGAAAGGAGAGTATAGATAATGGGAAGACTTCCTCGAAGAAGGAGCGGCGAACAGCACCACTATCAAGACCTGTCATTTGTATATGTAATGACTTATATGCACCAGCTCTTAGACCTCTGCGACAAATAGCAAAGTAAGTTCAACTTTTGTTCACTTTGAGGGTCACGTTTTCCTGTTTGTGTGACGAAGCTAGCACTATATAACGTAGAGTGTACTGCTGTCAAAATGTTTAATTGTCTTTGATACGTGTTGATTATATCTTCTTATCAAATGCTCATTCTATATAAACCTTCGCCTCTTAGTATGATGATAAGCTCCCCTGCCTCTGTTGCAGGGTTCATGTATTTGTTCAACCAACAGTGAGTCGTGTGGTAAACAGGTAATATATTCTTACTTAATTGCGTGAGAGAAGACTTCTTTTAAATTTTTTTTTTTTGTTTCATTTTTGGTGAGGATACAGTCCTTTGTAACTATTATTCCAACTGTCAGTTACATGTAAGACTAATTTCCTCTCTGGGTTGAAAGTCTGGAAATTTATCGTTCCACAACATGTGATTGAATATGTCAAATAGTACCTTAATGATTTGTTGTAAAAGAATTATGAAGTATATTTAAATTAATTCAGTATTTCCCCCCACCTTTATCTATCCAGCAATTGGCTTTACTAAGCTAAAATGTGCAAATGACAGGCTCAAGTATATTTGTAATATGGAGAGGATGAAAACAAGATCATTCGGTCTAAGTGCTCTTGCTGAGTACACTGGTATTTTCTCCCTTATGCTATTGCGTTCACTTTATTTGATTCTTAATCTGATGTATTCTCAACGAGTTTGATCTCATAATTTTCATTGAGAATTTTTGTGTGTATTTGCTTCCTAAATGATGCTGTTATCTTTTTGCCTTTCATTTGATGGTTACAGAATGCGACATACGCTCTTGCTTGAACACTCTGCAGTTTCTCAACAAGAAGAATGAAACACTCAATGTGGTGAGTCTTTGATGCGCTTCTTGCACTGGGGGTGTTTTTTCTCTTTTGATTTGATTTAGCAAAACTCCGAATTTTGTACCTCGCGAAAAGCTTTTTTAACTAGAAGAACAAATTGATTGGTGCCTTGCCAACTGAAACCTAAAGTCTCTACTGGACCTATGAGCGCTCTTCAGCTGTTGAAAACTAACTGCTTTTATGTATTTAATGAGTTAATTCCACCCATCTTGTTGTTCAACATTTTTGTTTTTTGGGCACTTATACGTTCTTGGAGATTGAACCTTCTAGTAAGCTAACTATCGCCTCGTTCTTTCTCTTTTAGATCGACATAGGATCTCAAATTGTTGGGAGGAAAGACATGTCAAAGAGTCTGTTTGATATCTGGAAAGAGGTAATGCAAGCACAATTAAAGTGTCGTAGCTTTTTTACTTACAGATCACTTCATTTTATATCCACGCTTGCTTTTTCGTGTTAGATATTCAACAAGAGGAAAATGAAACGAGAACGATCTAATGCCGCTTCTGGCAGTGAGGCCAAAAACTTCGATTTCTTACACACTCTCATATCTAGTCGGTATGTACAAGACAATGATTCTCTCTTTTATATTCTGAACTTTTTTTGCATGATT